TTTTAAGCGAGAATTTAAGCCCCACAATCGGACAACAGTATTCGTGTTTTAAATGAAATGACAACAGACTCGATTGAATGGAGAAGGTGGGCAAGTAGGCAACACAGTTTTCAACAGTTTTGTATGCCTCCATTTGCTGTTATGATTGTCTGTGCAATGTCCTGCATGCTGTCCGTCCCTACGTGTCTCAGTCTGTCCGTTTATACGACCTGCAGCATTTCTTAATACTTTCAATATATATCGAGTCAATCGCCAACACACCGAACCCAAAGTGTAAAGGCCACATTAATGATTATTTCAACTTGGCACCAGTGATGAGCTGGCATATCACTGGCAACGTCCCCACGCCTTTTAATGTTGTTACTATTTATATTTTTGATTGCTCACATATGCAATTCTTGCACAGGCCTGTCGTATTCCCTCCATTCCCATTGAAAACCAATTGAGTTGTGTTTGCGTTAATAAAAGTCTGCGTGCGCGTAGAAGCCAGCAACTGTTGCAACTGTTGTTGCATAGTTGGTGCGGCCGTGGCCGTGGAAATGACAACCAAATGCGTTGGGGCAGTGGGGCACTGTCTGTCGTTCGCAGACGGATGCCGCATACCGTTTTTATCTTTCATTTTTTTTTTTGTTGGCCACAGCGGTTGCTTTTTGCCGACCACCTGGTGAGCTGTTGCCGTTGCCGTTGCCGTTGCTGGCTGCCCCGTTTCCAGCTAATCACAAATCGAATATCCTGTGCGGCAGAGAGCCGTTAGAGGAGCAGCCTTGGCATCATGACATATCGACGCCATTGACTGTCATCATCGCTCTGTTCACTTGATTTTTCCTGCTCTACTCTGGCCTGCTTTTGCTTTTACCCATTACGATTTCCACTTTGATTTAACCGCATTATCCTTGATGCAAGGTCGCAGCGAGGCTCTCACGGCTGCTGTGTTGAACCAAGCGATAATTGCTTTGCAATTACGCGACTGACTGAGCAGCCGAAGGTCATTCCATGCACAGCATGCAGCGCCACTGTGGCAGCAGCAGGAGCACAAACCAAATGTGATACTTAAGTCGGCGCAAAAGTGAACAATAAATCAAATCGCAATTTATTTGTTCTTTCTGTGACGATTTTGAAATGGTTTCAACTAGAGATAAGCGCGGAATACTCGCGTCACAATTTTTATTTATCTGAAGTTGGGAGGCAATGAACCAATCCCGATTAATCCCGTCTATCTCGGCAATCCCGATTAATGCCAACCGCACAAAAAGTGAAGATTCTCAAAATGTTGATATGTCGATTATAAGGAGACAGTGCAAATCGAACCCGGTTATAGAAGAATTATAAAACCGGAATTTAATATTTTAGAACATTGGCAACAATTTGAAAAATACACCTTTGCTCCAGTAACTTTATAAAATGTTTTTGTTTTCCTTTTTTTGCTGACAATAACCTAACAGCTGATTTTATTATATTTATATCTACATATATATATATATATATGCTTCTGACCAGTGCCCACATATGAGTATCTCTTACCTCAAGCATTACTTGCCCACAAATATACGAAATCTCTTTTGAAGTATTCCACGTAAATGGGGCTTATGGGTAATAAATTGTTCAGAACATTTTCGAAATCACTTTCAGAATATATTTAAAAGTATGATCCAAATTAAATTGGTCAGAGACTGTCTAGCTTCACATTTCTGAGTAATGCGTTTTATTCAATTTGAAATTTATTTGACTTACTGCTTGCTCAACGGCGAGTCACTTTTGATTTGGGTTAATTGCACTCAAGCATCGCCCTCGAATTTATGTATATATATGTATATATGTACACACAGACTGTTCATATACAAAACTTATTTAGTATGCCGAATTAGGTATACGCTCCGAATGCCAGTGAATAGTCAGCATCGAGAATTTAAATAGCCGTTTTGCTTAATTTATTTCAATAAGGTAACCATTTTTGTGCTCAACCCATTGCTTGCCACATTCTCCACAATGCTGCCACCTGGCAGCAACATCAATTTACACTAAAACACTCAAAGGAGCAGGCTCCAATAGCGAAAGTGGCAAGGCACATAATTTATAGACACTTGGTGGTTGGGCTTAGTTTGCTTTGCTTTGCTTAATTGTTGGGTGGCCAACAGACAATATGCTAGTATATATATATATATGTACATATGTATGTATATATATATATATAAGTAAATGTGTGTGTATTTAAATTATAGGCTGTTTGCTGTTTGTTTACTTTGGCATTATGACAGACCGGCCGACGAGACTGCGCATAAATATATGCACATATATATTCATATTCAACGAGTTGAGGGCCAAACAATGCCCTAGCATAGCCCAAGAAGTAAACAATGTATCAGTTACTGAAATTAGTGCGGGCTTCGATGGTTAGCCAGACAGAGCATTAAGGTTCATCATTTTCAAGTAGAAACTATACTAATAAACAGTTGCTAAAAATTCTCTCTACTTTTCAATTAAAACATATTATTACGAAATGCCTTTGAAATTATCAAATTGTCTCGTTAATAAGCGAAACAATTTAAGCCATTTAATATGAATTAATAATTATTTATTGATTCTTCCATTTTAAATATGTGAATTCAATTTGGGTAACATGTCGAATGCACTGGTAAATAATAACAAATTTGTATTTGTAGCTGTCAGCCAAAATATTCAGTGCTAAATGAGCCAATCAGATTGAATTAATTTGCATAAATAACATCAGAAAGGTAAGCAATTAAAGGGTTAGCATCAGAAATTCGATTGGATATGCATAACATTATAATTACAATATCCATATCACAAATGATGCATTAATAATGGGTAACTGGACACAAAGAACCCATTCACCTGTAATTTACACTGTTCTATTCCGCCAATCGTCGTGTATTTTGTTGTACTGAACAACAACAAATAATATTCTAATTAAATTCAATAATTCATGCGGAACTGCCGAAAAATTCGCATGTCTGTCAAGCTGTGAACCGACTGCGAGATACGCTGTCATTTTTTATGCAGCCATCTATCAATCAGTATTCACATGTTGTATCTAAAACTTAACTTACAATTTGAATTCAAGGCTTAACTTTGTATGTCAGTTCGATTAGAAGTTAGCTTACTGCGATCTGGGTTCGAACTCTTGTGCTGCCTCCTCGAACGAGGAAGGAAAATAATCTTTGTCGGTTTGAGGATTTATTTAAAGCTTAAGGCATGTTTAAATAGGAAATCTGCATCTGTTTCTCGCTAAGGCGACAATAATCCGAATAATCAAGCCAACAAACTGTTAGACATGAGTTAAAGCTGTCCTCAGATAATTACAGGTTGGTTGTAGTCACTCAGCAGGTTGATCAAGCATCTGCACAACAGATAACCCACTGTGTCCCGAGAGTAACTAGACTCCAGAACTGAGACTCGCTCAGTTAGGGGTCGGCACCCTCAACGCAAGAGATATTAGAGCTCTGAGAGTAACACATGATGGGGTGTGGACCAAGAGCCATAACTCATTTCTAGAGCGAGAGACACAATGGATTCAGGTTGTCGCAGTGCACAAACTTGAACAATTGTAATAACAGCAGTAAAAGAAAAGTGTATTCATTTAGCCAAATTAATTAACGCTATTTGCTGGGTTTCGTAAACTTCATTGGAAAAGAAAAGTTTGTGAACTCATATAAATCGCGCAATATTTGTAAGAATCGCAGAAAGTTTTGTTGCAACTGGGTTAATTGGCTAAAATATTTGAATACAACAAATCTGTGTTGTACGATGAAACAGAGCTTTTCAATTTTTGTAATCCTCTTGATTTGTTTAGCTTTAATTAAATTCAGCCCTCAAAGATTACCAAGCAATTGCAATTAATTTTTGCGGCAATTGTCTTGGTCCACAAACAACTCAACTGGGGCTGGGTTGGTGTGAAAGACCACCTAACCCAACACAATAAGTGGATGGATTTTCAAGTCGATGAATCAAAATATTAGATGCCTCATAAGTAGTCATCTCTCAACTAATTGTTCCTATGGCAGCTATGTATCCGACTCATGTGCTGCCGATTATGTGCCAAGTTTCATTATCAAAACTGTAAAACTGAGGCATGGCTTGGCTATATATATATATATGTATATTTTACAGGGTTCATATGAATTAATTATGATTAATCCCTCTTCTAGGATACAAGAGATCTTGACTCTATGTCCGTCAAATGTCAGCTTATAAAATTTGTTAATTAAAAGGCTTAGCCAAGAGCGTTAACATTCAATTTCGGCTGTGAATGGGGTCAGGGCATTTGAATTGAAATTGGAAATGCAGACAAATGCCACATGCCACCGATGTCACTTTTGAACTGATTGCATTTACAGTTGTAAGCTTGTGTCTGCCAGCTGAACGTGGCAACAAATGGCCCAGAATCCTGCCTCATAGTCAACTTGGTTAACTGGAGTCAACTATCTGTTGCTGCATATATGCTAAATGCACTCCAATATACAACAGCTGCCCCCCCAGCTAATCCCCATTTATAAACTGAGCTGAGCGAAACTTTGTCTACTGTTCACACACTTCGCATAATTCGCCCCTTGCGATACGTATGCAAATCCAATGAGCTTATAATGAAAAATGTAAAAATGAAATCATTTTTATCAGCTTGCCACAGGCCAGCATAGCTTAATAATTGAGGATTTTCCACACATGTCCACGCTCCACGCTCCCCGTTCCACGCTCCTCTCTTATTGGAGTGCATGGAAATTCGTGAGTATTGTGTTTGTGCCACTCGCAAATTCCATCGTCGTATTTTATTTCTTTTTTTGGTTGGTTAAGCAAGCTACGAATAAGTGTTGGCTCTAAAGAAAAAGGGATAGCATACTTTTTTTATTTTTTTTTTTATTAAATTCCGACTGCTTAAGGCGACTTGGGAAATGCTTGAAATTTCGGGCATAGTTGATTTTGATTGATTTGTCAAGCCAATATAAACGACGATCTCAATCGATAAACGGATTTTTTGTTTGCAGAACCCAGAATCGGGACGAGTTTGGCACTCAACGCGTATATAAGAAAACGTCGCCGAATTGTGTGCTCACCCTGTATTTGCCAACCCGTGAGATGATTCTGACCGATAACAATCCATCCGTGCTGCGTGGCATTGTCTTTGTGGATCCGAAGGCCATTCAAGGATATCGCGTTTACGCCCAGCTAACGTTGACATTTCGGTAAGGCAGCATTAATCCCACGCACACACACACACACACCACACACACACACACCACACACACACACCACACACACACACACGCACGCGTAATTGCTCGACTCGCCTTGTCATTGCAGCTATGGCCGCGAGGATGAGGAGGTGATGGGTTTGCGTTTCTGCAACGAGGCCATTATGTCGCTGCATCAGATTTGGCCACGCCTTGAAGAGCCGTCGCGCGATTCGCTCAGTCCACTACAGGTAAGTTGCCACTCAATGTTGCAATCATTGTAATTGAAATGAGCTATGCACCTACCCGCCACCCAAGCACTGCCTGCCTCCCGGCTATGCTTGTGCTTGTTTGGTCGAGCAGCAGGCGACTGCGAGACGAGCACTTGGCCAAAGCAAGTCAGCACTGGCAGCATGTTGTTGGCATGTGCCAACTTGGCTGACAAGTTGCTGCTGCTGCTGCTGCTGTTGCTGCTGCTCCTGCTATTCTCAAAAATTTGAGGAATGCAAATGTCAGCCACCCACTCAGCTTACTCAGCGGCTGCAACAAGTGGCAGCTGCCGCTCTGCACAGTCTCATAAAAACTCATAAAAACATCCTGCACCAAATGGAATTCACAGCGGGAGCGAGGGACAGAATCTTAAGGATGCTCTTGCAGAAATTTGGCAGGGATGAAGTGTTGCATACAAATAAGTTTGTGCTTAACTCCTTCACTGGATATTGAAGTGCACAACCAAATCGGCAAAGCTTAACTCTTCGTTTCAATTCCAATTAGGCAATCACTCACTTGAACTCTAGCGAAACTAAGCTAAAATAATCATTATTCATTAATTATAATTAACGAGTAATTCCAGAGATCTGCAAACACCTTAAATGTGGGTTAATTGGCGAGCGTCATTTCTTTGATCGTTTTATCAACTCTTATCATTATTAAGTTACAGTTTAAACAAAATTGATGTTATCAAATTTATAATTTCATTAATGCAGTTCAACTCATGCAAATAAAAAAGCAAACTGGTAACAGAAACTGCCATCGACTATTAGCAAAACTCCATAAATATGCTCTGCAATATTTGTTTAGTTTTAATTCAATTAAGCAACACTAGATTAATAAATGTTAACAACAACAACAACCACAAACCACAATTTGTATATTAAATGACCACAATCCGCAAATTGGCAGATAACTAAAGCTGACCAAACAAATGCAGTTAATATTTGCGAAAATTGTTGTGGCCCACAACCAACTCAATGAGCTGCTGAGAAACCACACCAAACCCAACTCAACAAGTAGACGGGTTTTTTGGTTGTAGCAACAAAGTGGCAAGTTGGTCTAGGGACGCCGAAGATTTGATACCCTTGCGGATATCTTCATTATAAATTTCAAATTCAGATTGATTATTCCTATAAAAGCTATAAGATATAATAGTTCGATGTTGAGGTGAAGAAATGAAGTGGTAAAGAAATAGTTGCTTATACAAGAAGTCAGCTTCCAATCGATAGTTGCTTATATATGGATATACATATATATATATATATATATGTATATATATATATTGCTTAAGAACAGTTTGCAGGCATTTTTAAATCAAAGTTGTTGTCGTTGCATTCCAATTTGCCTTGTTGCCTGAAGGGTTTTCCGCCTTCGCTTTTCTTAGTTGTTGTTGCTGTTGCTGTTTTTCGCTTGAGAGCCCAGATTCAATGCAGCATTTCACGTCCGACTCGAGGTATGCAGCACGTTTTGCTTCTTGTTTTTTTTTGTTGGATTTGTTGTCGGTTTGTGTTCTTTTAATTTTTTTATGTTTTTGTTTTTGTAGTCCTTATCCCTCTCTCTCTCTCTCTCTGTCTCTCTCTCTCTTTCTTTTGCTCTACCTCTTTTCCCTGATTACTGAAGATGTCAGTTTAGTTGCACTTAAACCAATTGAAAATCAATTTCATTTAACTAAAAGCTTAACAAATGTTTCCGTTTCCCTTTTGCATTGTTTTTCGCTTGCTGCCAACTGAGTGTGTGTGTGTGTGTGGGTATGTATGTGTGTGTGTGTGGCAGACGTCTTCCCCAAGCGACTTTCAATTTGAACTTGCCCTTTTTATTAGATTTGACATGCAATCATTTATTTACCCATCACATTTTTGACAGCCAAACTCACCAAAATTCGGTTAGGCAATCAGTTTTTTTCATTTTTCCGTTGTCAGTTTCCAGTTTCCAGTTGTAAGTTGCCCATTTTTCAGCTTCCCACTTTTCTCGCTTGTCTTGACCGATTTGCATAATACATTTACTCACTTATAAACTGCTGCCAGTGGAAGCCACTGCTACTGCCCCCCAGCTATCAGCACAAGTACACACACAGCACAGATACACACACACATAGCACACACACACATACACATAATTAAATAAATTTGACTTTAATAACTTGCCGTTGCCCAAATAACATCGAGAGTAGGCAGAGGCAAAGTATTTCAAAAATACCATGAATACCAAGAAGGCCAGAATGGCACAAAATGGCCAAGAGCTGTGCTACAAAATGGCAGTGCTTTAGGTGAAAGAAAATTGGCATAATAAATTGAAATTAATCAATTATGTAAATGCATACATAGTAGCCTTTAGCTAGCTAAACTAAGCAGACAATCGATGTCAAATCAATAGACAGCAAACAAGAGACATGGGTTACTCTTCAAGTGCAGTTGGTTGAGGTACAGTGAAGCAGCAGTAAGTAGAACAGGAATATGCTGATGAAATCAATTAATTGATGGACCAATCAATTAGTTCGATTCGTATTTGAAGTTCACTTGAGTTTTGCTTTGAGTAGCGGAAATGGAAGGCATACTGATAGATATATACTATAATATCTATCGAATGTAGGGTATACTAGGTAGATATATACTAGGTAGATAAGCCACAACAATGTGATTATGTGGCGTACAGGCTCAACTTGTTTTCATTAGAATCTCCATTCTCAAGCATTTATTTGCTTGAGCAGCACTTGCCAAGTCGATGGTCGAAGACAGTCCAAAAACAATTTACACTTTGTAAATATCAACAAATTTGTAAGACAATATCCGACCTATAAGTACAACAGTTAAATTTGTATTCTTAATGTTCCCGTGTAGCGTTCAGCCTGCAACATATACACAGATTTCAAGCCGTAGGGCCTAACAGCCTCGTGCGGCCCTCCTGTCTGACAATGGCGGCTTAAGAAGCCTTCGCCCCTCCACTCGCTCTCTCAATCTCTCCCTCTCTCTCTCTCTCTCTCTTTTTATCTCTCTATCTCCATCTCTGTTTGGGCTCAAATTAGAACAAAACGTTTTCCGAGCCAAACAATTTGAGCTGTGGAATTGTCTTTAAATACTTTTCATTGAGATGCCGCACACAGTTCGAGGCAAAGTCATAGCCAAAGTTGTTCGCCGTAGGCCTGTTGAGCAGTTGGCTGAAAGGGGAGGGAAGGGAGTGGAAGGGTCATTGCCTTTGTGGCTGCTGTTGTACGCGCTACTCAGCTTACGATACACAGACACACGCGCCGCCGATAAGACATTTAAGTATAAGTCCAAGGACAGAACCAGCACAGAAACCAGTAACACGACAAGGAACTGTGGGGGAATTGGGGAGTAGAGGGGGGGGGGGGGGGGACACAGTGGGCATAGCATGTTTTCATATTGCTGCGAACATAATGAAATGCAAATGAAATGCCAAAACCAGCCACAGAATAAAGCATAACAAAAAAAACAAAACAAAGCCAACAATTTCGCAATGGTTGCGCCACTAATCACAGAGCCAAAATGCATAATTAAAAACTAAACATAACCGTAAACAAACAAACATGCACACATATATATATATATATATATATATATATGAAAATATGAAACCGTCCGCATCTATTGGCTTTCGGCTTTATTAGCCACTCAGCTGCAGACCCGATCCGGATCTATAACTAAAAAATCCAATTAAAATGCGAAATTCAAATATGCTGGCAATTTTGCAAATATGCCAGGCATTACTATTCTGACTGACTATACCCCTATATGTGTTTGCATATATATTTGCACTCTGCTTGCAGGAGGCATTGTTGCGGCGTTTGGGGGATGGGGCCCATCCCTTCACCCTGTCGCTGACCGCCCAGGCACCGCCCAGCGTCCAGCTGGTACCGGCCAAGCGTTACTACGGAGCTCCCATTGGCACCAGCTACGACGTCCGCTGCTTCATTGGTAAGTTCATCTTCTTCTTCTTCTTCTGTTTGTTTTTGTTTGCTTTTATATGCCAATATGATATGTTTGTTGTTCATGTTTGTTGACATCCGTTTGTAAATATTGCACAAAATTAGATACATTTAACTAGTCCAGGAGCATGAACAAATCTAGTGAAAGAGCAACAAGAACAGTGCAAATAGTTAAAGACATTAAATCGAATCTGAGAATTAGTCTGCTATTGGACAAATGACAACTTAGATTATTTAAAGTTGTTGTTTTCGATAAGCCTTGTTGAAAGTTTATCATTTCATCAAGTTAGCTTTAGCTGAAAATAAATTAAATGTAAAATAAATAAATATTAAATAATACATAAATTTGAAAAATTACTGAACGTTTTTATTCAAAAGGCTTTCAGTACAAATAATAATTAATAATTTTAATAAATATCTAGTTTTAAGTATGTTTATAATAACGATGCGAAAGTTAGTCCAAATTAAACCCACTCGAAGTTATCCCCATATTATAAATAAGGGACTCTGCTGGTCTCTTGATATCATAGAGATATCATATAGAGAGTTTATATGCAATTTTGGACACAAACTTCCTTAGGCGGCATATTTGTCACAAAAAAATCTCAAGAATATAGTATTGAGTAAATAGAAGATGATCCTCCTCTTTATGATCTTTAGAATATATGCAATATATTTTTATTGCGATTAAATCATTATTTTTATAGAATCGAAAAATATTTCTTCTTCTCTTTGGATATTTATTAAATAGTCTCTCAATAAAAAGGCTAAGGACTTGATAAAGTTTTTAAGCTAGAAATTAGATAGAAATTAAGATCACTTAAATAGAAATTAACATAGAGTCGAAAGATTAGTTACTGAGCTTTCTCAGGTTTATTGCGATGCGTATTTTGAGTGTAGACATACAAATACATTATAATTAACGAGCATTTACATTACCTTTCCTCCATTCACCGTTCATCATCAAGCCATTGGCCAACGCCTATAGAATCGTGAGTATCGAGTATCGAGCATCGAGCATCAAGCATCGAGCATCAAGTATCGAGTGTCAAATACCGAGTGTCGAGCATCGAGTGACTTCAGGCATCCACTGGAGTCGACGTTCGACATGTGAGTGCGAGCGAATACGAATCCCCTCGTAATTTGGCAGTGGAACAAGTTTCACAGCTTAATTATATTGATGACCACGTCAAACCGCCCGCTCCCCGCAACGGTCGAGCAACAAGCAAATTATCCCTGGCCAACACTTTCCAATACTTGTCCGCTGCTTCTGTTGACGGCATCAGACTTGATCTGATTGAATTGTTCTTATTTTCGATTGATTTTGGTGTAATGCTTTTGGCCATCATTTAAGTTGATTTTTTCGCCAAGCGTGAACCTTGTGGGGGGACCTAATGCTCTGTGTGCACACTGAAATTAATAAAAACAAGAAACCAGAATGAACGGCTATCTTAGGCACAGCGCAGATAACATCCCCTTGCCGTCTCTTTGGTTATATGAAATGCAAGTCGATTGCTTGATGCCCTGTAAACGGACAGTGAGCTTGACATACCCGCTGTGTGGCCATGTCATGACACAGCACAGGGTATCCAAATGGTCTGACTGATGCCCACTCAGATACCAATTCCAATTCCGGTTGCGATTTGCAATTTGCGATGCTTTTGATGGTTTCCATCATTTTCTATTTCATTTTCATTTTCTTTTCGTTTCGATTCGATTCGTTTCGATTCATTTTACTTATTTTTTGTAATTTTTTCAATTGCCAAAAGGAAATTTTTTCAATACGTCTGCGTCCTTGTGCTCTTATTGTCTGTCGGCATTTCCAAGGTAACTGATATGAACTGAATACATATAAATACATATTTGTATGTGGAAAAGCGCAAATTCATAGACCAACCAAGTACTTAAGCTGAAAACAAAACACATTTGACATTTGAATGGAGACTGAATTGTGTAGCAAGCTTCTTTTTTTTGCTAATATGATTTAAATGGGAGACTTTCAAACATACAAATTTAAAACAGAAAACATTCATTGCATGCACAGTTGCCCAAACAAAGGCGTGTCCACGGCCAGTCTTGCGTGCTCAAAAGTAGCAGTTGACCCGGCTGTAAGCATGAAAATGAAAACTTTTTTTCCAGCCCCTGCTGACGCTCAGTGGAAACGCAGCAGCTGCTGGTTAGCGCCCTCTAGAGGTTGTCGGGGGCAACCAAGTGTCAGCAGAAGGTGAAAGCCTTTCTGATGGTGGCCCACAAAACAAAAAATAAAACTTGAATATATTGATTTACTTAAAATGTCTAGCCCTTTTTATGCCTTTCCAGAGGACATCATAATTTTATAGTCAAGTTTGTAAAGCATTGAACGAATCCTCTCCGATCGATATTCTTGATCAGCTTTTAGTTTCGAAAAAATTGGAAAGAAGTGTTGTCGTCATTGGACAAGACGAAATACGTTTGCAGTCCATTTTGAATATGAATTCTTTTTTATGCCTAGCCGACAATATTCATACGCGAACCACACCCGAAAACTTTACCCTTTACCCACACATGATCTCTGCTGTTTTTCAAATTGAAATCATTAATTGGGTTTTTGTTGGTGCACTGAGTTTATTCATGCGAATAGCAAGAATCAACTCGTATGAGTTTATTTTAGAGCAATTCAGCGATTCCATGTGAGTTCAAATTTGAATGCAGAATAAAATCAAGAGAAAATTGATTTTTGCAATTCTCCAATGACCATGTACCTGTTTTGATGAAGGCAATTTTCTTATTACCTGTTTCTGTGTAACATTAAATCAAGGCAAAATCTCAAACAAAGCACTCAACGGCAGCATCGACAGCTTAATAATCCGCTTACTCGCAGCATAAATAATCAATTTGTGCACTTTTACTTTACTTTTTATTAATATTATTTTATTTTCACCAACAAAAAAAAGAAGAAGAAAGAAACACAACAACAACAACAACAACAACAACAACAACAACAATGTAGCCGCAGAAGCAACAGCCATAAATGGCAGTCCATTCAGATTTTAATTCTTCTTCTTTTTCTTTCTTCTTTCAATTTAAAAAACAAATACAAAATACATTTTAATTTATGTATGTTTTATATATTTGTTGTTGTTGCACCGTTAACATTTCGCGTTGGTGCATCAAACGAAGTCAATTTAATTATAATTGTATAAATCAGCAGCTGATTAACTTCCGACCGAATAAAGATGTCGCAGCCAACTGTTTTGCATCGAACTCACTCCGAAATTGGGCTCGTGCTCCTTAAAGCTGCTCAGCAGTTATCCTTACCTTCAGTGTGTCTATTTGCGATGATTACGTCAACTTGTTGTATGTTGTAAAAGAGACAATGGATTTTAAATCTGCATTCGCAGCAGCGAAAAATGACTCGACATACAAATTTTCCGCTGTTTACTTTTGCTTTTAATGCTTTTTTATTAAAAAATAAATAAGGTTTTTAAATCCAAAAATTAACATTTCATTTCTAGAAAGCTCTGAACAATTTGGCTTAAAACTGTAATGAAAATTTAATAAAATATTTCCAGTCTATCAAACTTATTCTAGAATCCACAGCTTTGCATAAATCGCGATTCGACTCCTACTCGCTATCTGACAGTTTTTAAATGACTCGATATATCGATCATTTTACCATTAATGCTTTTGCAGCTCTAATTATTTGAAATACATATATGTCAACATATGTTCTGATCTCACGCATTCATTATATCTCTGTTTTAGCGTGTTTGTTTTTTGCATTGCTTCGTTTTTTCATTCTGCCCATCCTTTTGTTTCTGATATAATATGTATATATATATATATATGTGTATAATATAAAGATTTAAATTGGCAAAAGTTTAAATTGGTAAATGTTTAAGTTGATAAAATGATATGTAAATTGGTTGGCAGCATGTGCTGCAAGTGCTTGTTGTTTTTGGTTGAGTTGACACCATTAAAAGGCTGCCAGCTTTTCAAAGTGTTCCACAAGCAGCTCAAACGAGACGAACCAAGACGAACAACACAGCCAACCAAGAAAATTAAAAAGCACAGAAATGCATTCATTCAATTTCAAGCATATTAGGCAGCCACGCTTCTAATGAGCTTAGCGAGCAATGGCAGCGCAAATAGCCATGTTCAGTTCGAATCCTTTGGCTAATTGGACGGCTCCCTATTTGTTTTTTCTTTGTTGCATCTCTTTTTGTTTTGCAGCCGACAAGACGGATGAGAAGTTCCATCGTCGAGCCGCCGTCAAAATGAGCGTACGCGTCATTTATCGCACCGATGTCTTTCATCAGCACTCGGCCCCGGAGCAGTTTGCCGCCTTTGTCGGTCAGCACAATGCCGCTCCATCGCCGCCATCAAGTGCAACGCCACCACCTGGCAACGATGCGAACGCAGCAGCAGCTGCAGCTACAGCTGGAGCTGGAGGAGCTGGCCACGAGCAACCATCGTCCTCCAAAGGCAAGGGCTCCAAGTCGGAACGCGGCGATACGTTTCCCAAGCTGCGTCTATCGCCAAAGTCATTTAGGTTCAGCGGTCGCTTTGGGCGCAGCAAAAGTGAAATTGAGAGATGCCCCAACGATCCTTTCCATTGTTACAGCAAATCTTTCCAGGAGGTGAGTCTACTATGTTTATATACTACCTTATACCTTGTATCTTATAAGATTTAACCTTGTTTTTTATTTTTATTTTTTTTAATGTATCAGTAAAAAGTTAGATAAACAAATCATGTTTCAAAATTGGCACCAGTGCCGCTATTCGACATTCTCTGATTGCTTGACAAGGCCTTAAGCGGAACCAAAAATATAATCTTTAGAAATCGGAATTGATAAGCAATAAATGTTTAGTTAACAAAAATGCAAAAATCTTCAAAAAAGGAGTTGTTAAAAAGTAAACAGAAAATTAACCATGTTTGCAACAAGGTGTCAAACCGGAACCGCAACCTTACCGAATATATATCAGAACCTGAACCGAAATTACTTTTTCATAACGGAATGGAATACTGAAAAATAACATTGGAACCAAATCATTCATTTATATATGTATATGTATAAATTCTATATCGATGATTACTCATTATTATTAATCCGTTTGAAATGATTAGCAACCTAAATAGCTGAAAAAAAAAGTCTGGTAACTTATTGATTAATAGATTGATATGCAATTGATTTGATCAGTCAATTACTGAGGGAAACACTGTAGGAAGTTTCGCTTAAGGCGCAGTCAAGTCAATTATGTAAATTTGGTTAACAAGACGCACGCTGTCAGCGAGCAGTGTTGCTAATCTTAAATTGATTTTGTTTTTTTTTTTTCATTATTTGGCAGCATTGCGACAACATTGGCAGCGGAATGTTGCCGCCACACAGCAACGCGGGTGTCGCCGGCGGCATTGGTGGCATCAGCGTTGGACCCTGCGGCGGGCCACAGGGCGCCGTGGACAAACCATTTCTGCTCCATGACGGCCGAGTCAGCCTGAGGGCCAGTCTCGACAAGGGCTGGTACACGCACGGCGAGAATGTCAACGTCACCGTCAACATACGCAACGACAGCCGCAAGACGGTGCGCAAAGTGCGGGTAAGTGGAATCTCTAGTTAACCTTGAAGCAAACCACTAGCTTAGTCCTAAGACTGTAACCTAACATCTGTAACTTAACATGCAGCTAGCTAACCACTAGCTTAGTATTAAGACTGTAACATAACATCTGTAACTTATCATGCAGCCATGTACTTAACATATAATATCGATATCGATCGATAACATTTGTGTGATCGCCAGGTTGAAGCAGAACATCTGATCTGAATCGTGGTGAATAAACTAAAAAGTGACCAGACGTGTTTGAGAAAGAAATATAGCACAACTTCAGGCCGAACAATCCTGTGTCTTAAATATTTGGTTTTTTTTTTGTTAGTTGTATTACAACATTTAAGTATATAAACTCAAAAAAATCAGCTCTAATTTTGGATAATTGTCACACTTTTGGTGCCAAGGATAACTCAACTTATTATTTACAAAGTATATTCTTAAAACAAAAGGCTGTGTCTTTCTAAAACCTCTTTTTTTAAATTCCAGGGTACTTTTTGTCTAAGATTTAGAAAAAAATATGTATATTGTCAAATGTGTTGTTTTATATGTGTACATATAACTTTTGTATTATCTTTTTGTTGCTGCTAGTAATTATTAAATATTAATATTTTCAAATTTCACAAATATTTTAGATAGTTTGGAAATTCATATAGTCGGAAAAGCTAAACAGCAACTGTGTTCAAACACAGCAGTTGAGAGATTTTAGTTTTAAAGCTATTGTTTTTTTTTCCTCTGAGTGTAAGTACTCCTTTAACAAAAAATGAACAAAAACAATTTTTGTGTATGCCGCATCAATCTTATCGAACTGAAGTTAAGCAGACCAAACATGCTTAAGTCCAGTGACCTACTTATATGTGATAGATAGATGGATAGCTTCACACTTGATTCCGTATCTTTCTAACCATATACACATAGATTATAAGATTCTTAGCTATTTTCAGCTCGTTAGGTTTGTCTAACTTTAACTTTGTCCTTGTTCGGGCTCATAAATATTCTGACTCTGGCTAGACACGGTTACCAGCAAATGATTTATGGTTTTTTAGTGTTTCCAGTATAAATGTTTGTCTGGCCTGCTTGTCCGTCTGCCTGCTTGTCTGACAGCCTGTCCCCACCCATCACCCTCCCCATAAATAATGCACACGCAACGTTGAGAAAACTGTTGCATTCAGTTGCAAGTCGTAAAATATGCAATGAATAATGAATAAATGCCAGGCAAGGTAAAGGGTCGCCAATGGCATTATCTTTGCCCCTAACAGTAGACCCTGTCTCCTAGTCCCCAGCACCCATCTGCTAGTCTATATCCCCCAGCCCCTTGATCCTAGCTCTCATTCCCTATCTGGTTAAAGAAGTAATTGAATTATGTGCAACGTCGCCATATTACTAAGTGGGTAGCAAGCACTTACGGACACGCACATCAACACTAACACATACACAAATACACTCCCACATCCAAAGACACACACACAGAAACATGCAGAACATCCTTGCATATATTGGTCAGAAAACCAGGCAAAAGAGTTTTATATTTATGAGCATGGTATGGCCTCATTTGGCAAGCAAGTTACCGTTAAAGTTATCACAGTCAATCAACTGGCCACTTCTAACTTGCAGCAGGTGCATGCAACTATCCACAAATGCCCAAGAGTTTTTTGTTTTTTGTTTTTGTCGGCCATTTGCTCCAATTGCTTCAAGTGCATTTGGTGCCATTGAACTGACTTTGGACCACACACAGCAGCCATTTAGATGGTTTTTACGATTTGTGCTTTACATCTGCTAACTGTTGCCACAAAAATACATCTATATCTAAACATGTGTGTGTGTGTGTGTGTGTGTGTGTGTGTGTGTGTGTGAGTGTGTCTGAGTGTGTGCCAAAAGTATCACAAAGTAATGGCAAAATATGTGCTGAATGTTGTCGACATCTTTCAATTTATCTATGTCCAGTTGAACGTTCTCTCTCTCTCTCTCTCTCTCACTCTCTCTATATATATATGTCTACTTTGCAATGTGTTATTGTTCTTTGTTGTTGCTGTTGTTGTTGTTCTTGTTGACATTGTTGTTCTATGGCTCAAATGGCAAATGCATGTAAGTCAATTGCCTCGCTTTTCGTATCAAGTCGAATTGTAGCCATAAACACAATGAAAACAACTCACGGCCCAGCGGGCGTTCTAAACGCTCGACAAAACCTCTCCCCCTCCCTCTCACACACCCACACACACACAGACACTTGCATGCACGAGCACACAATGAAATTCTTACATAAATAAATCAGTTATTCTGATATGGCCAAGTGCAAAGCGTCGTATTAATATTAAAAACACGCACGTTTGTGCACTCTGCCCTAACTGAAAGCGGTCATTTCGATTAATCCATGCTGTTTGTGGTTGAACGAGCTGTTGAGATTAATCTATCTATTTAATCTGATTACTGATTACCATCGAGCCACTGATGCCATAAGCAAAGCAAAGTTGATTTGATGCGGGAGCTGACAAGTAGCTGCAGCAATCAATTGGCCAAGTAATCAGTGTTGCATGGAAGTAAGAAACCTGCAACCATCAACATAATCAGCAAAGTAATCAGTGTACTTTTACACAGAAATCAGCTTTGGCCTTTGGGCATGTCATCAAAACACGCCGACTTCCTTTTGTCAGCTACTGTTAGTGTTTTGTGTTTTTTTTTAATTGTACAATTTACTCGAATGAGATTTTAGAGTTGCTAATCAAATTTCACGTGATAATTGTATTTGCATAGTATTTAACACCCAGCCGAAATTGGAGCTGAAAGAGTTCGAGTTTCAAGAGTATTTCGCCTGCGGCTTCAAGTGTTTTTTCATTGTGTTTTTGTTTAGCAACCGAACATTGCTCATACGCCTGGCTAACAAATCGAATGACCCGCTGCGAATAACACTTGACATGCCGTTTTAGGCCAGCTGCCAAACGGCAAATCGCAAATGGCAAACGGCAAACGGCAAATGGCAACTAGCAAACTTGAGCCGCTAAGCAGCGAAGTGCGCACACAAATGCAAATGTCGTCCGGCGGCAACTGCAAAAGTTGTGAAGAGCGCTTGGAATGTGCAATCTCTTGAGTATTCAGCCACTCGACAAAGGAAGGGCGACACAAGAAACACTCAACTCGACTCGACTCGACTTGACTCGACTACTAGATACCCTGCAGCCAGCTGTTAAATATATTCTAGTTTTAATTTACTTTTATTTCATGTTCAGAATACGTTTTCGACTATAACTTCGATGTTTCTTATCCGATCTTGACGACCTTTGTACAGTTACTCAAAAATACATCTATGTAAACTATATGTCAATTGGAAGTTTCTGTGCTTAAAATTGTGGCTTTTATAGTTATCGCAAAACGATATGTATCGATATTCGTAAAACTTAGGCAGTTTTTGATAAAATGATGATTAAACTTGTTTTGCACGAGGTATATGAAAAGTTATTTTCCAAATTTGAAGTCTCTAACTCTCTTTTAGACTCTGAGATCCGCGTTTTATATAGATGGACAGACTGACATGGCTATATCGACTTGGCTATTGAACCGGATGCCTCCTGCTACATACATGTTGCATACATTTGCACAAAACCCTTATACCCTTTCCACAAATTTGCTGTGAATTCAAGGTATATAAAAAGAGGGAGAAAGCAACAGAACGCAAACCAACTGACAACCTGGTCGAGGCAAGTGAAAAAAGGAAAGCGTACAAAAAGTTGACATTGAGATGAAGTCTAAAGTGGGGACGGGCTGTGTGAGGACTGACAAAAGGGGCTGCTCGAGTGAAAATTGTGTTTATACATTTTATGGGTTTTACTTTTTAACATAAGCACACACACACACAAACACAGACAGACACACACACAAACACACATGCACATGTCTTGCTATTGTGCTTGTGGCGACTTTCAACGAGCTAGAAGACCCTTTTGCTTGAGCTAAGAACACACAAGTAGTAACCAAATTTTACCATATATATATATATACACACACACACACACACACACACACTGCAGCTATAATCACATAAACGCACTGTGGATTAAGGAGTCAATTTCTGTCACATAAAATCTTAGCAACTGGCAAATAATACACAATTTCTATAAACAACTTGTGCTTCCCGGAAGTATGTACTTATCACCATAGACACTGGTTTCGCTCTTAAATTGTACAGCTTTTCGTTTTGTTCTTTAAGTTTAAGGCGTTTTCTGAGCTATGAGTTTTTATGCGACAAAATGTTTGATTCTTCTACAGTACTAAGTTGTCAGAGCTTGTGAAACGTATTAATGGCAAATTCTGCCCACAAACGTGTGCTACAATTTTACATCGTCACTTTTTGCCAAATGTTCCTGAAGTGATGTGAGTGTGTGCGTATGCAGAGCTCACGCCTCCGGCTGGCTCCATTTATCTATTTATATTTATATATATATATATATATATGTATATATATATATATATATATGTACATATATATGTATATATCTGTCTCTATACAGCTCGCCTGCTGAGCTCAGCTCAACTTGTGCCGCATCCGTTTGCTCTTTGTTAACATTCTTAAGCAATTCCTTTTTTATACCCTGAACCCATTAAAAATGTCTAAAAAGGGTATAATGTTGTTAGCAGGCGGAAGAAGGTAGCTCCGATCTCATTAGCAAGCTATATATTCTTCAACCGAGTCGATTTAACCATTTCCGTCTGTCTGTCGGAAAAAGTGAAAGGAATATGCAAAGCACCAATCGATTATCGATGGCAAAACATAGGCAAATACAAAATCAGACTTGAACTGCTTATGAGAGACAAAGACTTAAAAGCAAAGGGTATCTCCTAATCGAGCATTCATATTTGTTGCTACTCCTTGCTTGTGTACAGTTGCCACAGTTGCGAGTGAAACACCATCATCTACTAACTTTTGTGCAAAACCATGGCTCAGCCTACATTTTGCATATAAGCGATATGCTTGAATGGTTGAAAATTGACTTGTAAATATCTAGAAAAATGCGGCATAAATGCAATCGGCTTCATCATGTCTTTTCCAACTCGATGTTTATGGCGGCGGCATTAGCTATTCTGACAGATATTGCGTATACGCAATGTCTGCCAATCCAGCAAAGATAAGCGATATGGAAAAGCATTGGTGTCGTTTTCATTCCCGTTGGTGGTTTGCCAACACAGCTGTTGCACTTGTAGTCTAGTTTGCTCCATAGACATATCGATGACATGCCACATAAAGTTGCTTCCGGCCACTTGATGCTAATGCAATGTGCAAAAGTATACAAGCCGCAATTCAACAACGGCAACAGGACGCATAGATAGAGAGAGAAAGCAAATGGCATGTCCTAGAAATTTTGTAGGAGTTCTGACTCAGGTCTGTACAGAATAATATGTATATATATATATATATATACAGAAAGAGAGTGTGTCTTATAACTCTAGAGACTCATTTAAGACACTCGGTAGAAGTCAGGCAGACGCCTTCAGGCTTGAGTGCATTGGCAAATGTTTTGCAGGCGTGGAAAACCTGTCAAGCGGTTATTGTAGATACTATCGAAGTGACAATATTTTCACAGCACATTGTTTATTGATGAACACACGGACAAACAGATAGAAAAGTGTATGGACAGCCGGAGAGGAGGAGAGGAGGAGAGGATGTGGTACGGTTTGTTACAATGATTGTACTCCAATCAGACAAATGAAAAGAGCAAACAGAAAACGGAAGTGAAATATGCATGTGCAAGCAGAAATACAGCATTTATTTTTAAATATAAAACGGAAAATAAAACGGGGGAAAAAAACAACAACAAAAAAGCTGCAGATATACAATAAGACAAATTTGTATAATACATTCTTATTTCAGAAAATCAAATTTGTTATGGAAAATGTAATAAAACATTTTGCAAACCGAATTAGCTTGTCGAACTGTCTGCATTTAGCACGAGCAATAAAAGGGCAGCCACTTCACACATTGAATGCACAAATACACAAAACAAGTCAAATCATCCATATTCAAAGCAATTTAATGTGTAATATTTTCACATGCTTAAGCTTAAACAGAATTTGTTTATCTACACAGACTCCTACAGGCATGGAATATGTCATCTGTTGTTATCATGGGCTCTGTTTTCCATTAGTACTTTCCACCAATGGTATTTTGGGAAAAAAAAGCCAATTTAAATATATATATATATATATATATATATATATATATATATATATCTACTCGTGGTTAGTGGAATGTTTTGCTGCATCTATGTAAATCGCTTGCATTTAAATATTTGATGAGGCAGTCTAAAAACTGTATTACAAATTCAAGTAGAATGCTTGTTTTTTTATTTTTGTTTCAATATTGTTTTGCTCTTTGCGCTTTATTAAATATACATAAGATTCTTAATGTATGTGTACAGTTCGCTTTTTTATGGCCACATTGTGCTCTATTGCTTAAAGTTTTTTTTAGCATAGCTTTGCTTTTATCTTACAAGCGTATACAACATATTTGTACACTCAGCAAAACTACTTTTGGCACCAACTAATTATTCAGAAACCATGTTTCTAAAATGGATTATTGTGTGTCTCTAAAGAAAAGTTTTTTTTTTAATTCCTAAGTACATTCTGCAATAATTAAAAAAAAATCGAATTTTCTGGTTATTTACTCTTAGCTTTTTTGTTACTTATATTACTATTAAGCATTAGTATTTTTAAATTTTGCATATGAAAGCATTTTGAATATTATTTAAATTCACAGAATTTAATGTTAAATAAACAAAGCAACTAATGCAGACGCTGCTAAAGTTTAACATAGCTGTCGAAAAAAAAAACAAACTAAATAGTATATTCTGAATTAAAATGATACCAGCTTTTGAGTTATTTTTTGTATTATTAAGAAACATATTTCTGAACAATAGAAACAAAAACAAACCAAATTCGAATATTTCTAAAAACCAACATTTGTCGTATAGTTTTCAAAGCAACTCTCTAAACTGCACATCGACTTGTTCTCTGAGTGTATTTTGCCCGTTCGCTTGGTGGTTTCGAATAAAAGTCCAGCTGTAAGAAGCTGACAAGGTCACCCTAAACTAACTACTCGTAGCAACAAGTTCGACAATAGGGTGGTCGAAGGGGTTGTTTATTTTTGCTGTCAATGTAATAAAAGCCATGACACATCAGAGTACAATTGTTCACAGTCAACTAAATAATAATAATACAAAAAAAAAGGCAGCTCAGCAACAATACAATACAAAACATGTATATCAATTTGTTATTGATGTAATTTACATAAATCTTCGTTTGGCAATTTACGCATGGCCTGGCCAAAAATCAATATAAATTCAATTTACAAATACCAAATATAGCCTTGATATTAAATATATATACATAAATATATATATGTATATTCAGTGTCATCTTCAAAAGGCGGCATTAAATGAAAAAAAACTTTACCGTACATACATATTTTATGCGTACTTGTGAATACTGTGAAGGGGTTGTCCAAACACCCAACACAAAATCAGTGTGTGTTTGGGTGAGTTTGTGTTGCTTGCGGGGAAATCCCCACTGGCGGCAACAAAAGTTCACAATGAGGCAAGGCGCACAAAAAATTGGTTAGTTGTAGTTAGAAATCGAGATAATTCTGCATAACCAGACGCACAATGCAGCCATGTAGCGAAGGAAAGATGGATAAAGATAGTAAGAGGATATTGGCATTACAAGGAGCATTGTGAGCAGCATTGTGGGGAGCAACTATAAGTGGGCTGTATCTTGGGTAGGAAAAACAACGGAGAAATCAATTACAACAGACTCGGATTGCTTTAAGCAAAAACCAGCCAAGCAAAATTAATCAGATAAAATGTCAAAAACAACAAGCATTAAGTGAAATAAGGTTTATGCTTTGAAGCCAACTCAAATTAGTTAACAATTTGTTAAACTTGTTCAACTCGCCTTCCGCAATTACAAACACAAACTACAATCGAATATTTAGCAACTGCTAAATGTTGTTCTTGGAGTCAATATTTGCAACAGTTGCGTCAATTTACATACATTTACATGTGCACAGATGAAAATAAATAAATAAATAGTAATAAAGTAAATAATATTTGTGTAAATATATATCTACAATTGCTTCACTGCATTTCTGCACATATATTTTATTTGGGTTTCCATTTGTATTGCCTTGAAAAGTGGATCTTATTTCCAACGAATTTGAATTAGAAATATTTTGCGTATTGTGCACTGAGCTTTGTGGTCCATGTTCAATTATCAAATTACGCTGTGGTAAATGCTGATGCATCTCTTAATAATTACTGCTTAGTGATTAATCGGAATTTGAATCAGATGAACTACGCCAGGTGTTAAATTGCACAAGCTACAGAGGAATGTGTGTAAAATATGTGTACAAATTTTGTGAGGTTCAAATGAAATGTTAGGCGACCTTTTAACGATAAACCCAATACATTCTAACCCCATGCAACCCATCAACGGATGGGTAACAATTTGTAGGCCATGCTCTGCATCTATAAATGAGCCTCATTATTACAGCTAAAATCCTAAACAAGCAAGCAACAAAAAATAAGGAGCAACAAATGCCAAATCAATTTCGGTGGCATTGGCAATAGCTATAATTCCTTTTCCCTGACATTGTCCCTGTACTACCCACCATCTGCCGCCAGCCCCTCGTTCACCTATCTGACAGCAAGTGTGTCCGTCTTTGGCCAATGTCCACATTTACCGGCGTAATTGAGTGCATTACTTTTGATTGCCTTGCCCCTAGATAAGATTGAAGTAAGCGCGACAACGCAATCAAATAATGTCACCATAATTTCAGGCTGTATACAAACACACACACACACACACACACACACACACACACACACACACACACACACACACACACACACACGCACATACACACAAACACAGAGATACCAACATGTACTCATAAAAGAGGACACATTGAACATGTGTCACGGCCTCAATTTGCTGTGCTGTGCAAAAAGACCCACTTGGCTATGTTGTTGGCTGTGACGCCATTAAATGAAACGCAATTTAACTGCTTGTTATATATTTAACTAAAGGTCAAGTTAAAAAGAAATGTAATTCAATGTTTAATAGCCTTGCTAAACATAATGCTTAAATGGGAAATCAAATCAGAATATATTCATTTACTGATATATTTTGAGTCCGGTCGGTGTTCGTCTTTGGGGCTTCCCTGAATTCACAGCGAATTACATTGGAATATATGAATAATATAAGAAAAAGCAAACATGCCCTGGATCCAGCGAAAAGCATATTTAAATTATTTAAAGAGCTCACCGAACAACAAGCAATGTAAAGAAACTATTTGTATAAAAGCGACAAAAAACTTTTAGTTTACTGATATTAAATACTTGCTGAGGAGCTTCTTAAGCTTTGTAGAGTAGAACAAACTAAGACAACGACTAAAATACATTTATTTATATTATTCCAGAAGCCTTTCGTTTTACATAAATATAAACAGATTTATACAATTTATATTCATAATTATTCCAAATAAATGGTTAACTAACTAAACCCGAGACTAACTGACATCTACTTAGAGTATGCCACTTTCGTATAACTCGCTGTTGCAACTTGTTTAATATATATATCTATATATATATATACAGGGCCAGCGAGTTTTTCATGTCCTTGATATTGGTATTGAAATTGATATAAAATTGCGTTCGTATATTATTGTTAAGCCGCCCCAGTTTGAGTGGCAAGCCCAATGGCCCAATGGCCCAATGGCCCACTGACACTGTTATTGCTTTTATTTGTCTGTCTCGCTCTCGCTCTCGCTCTCTCCTTGTCTTACTATAGTTTTTCGTCATTTTATTGACAGGTTTGCGCCATTCAGCACGTGGATGTCTGCATGTTCAACAATGGCAAGTTCAAGAACGTAGTCGCCGATTCGGACAATGTGTTGCCGCCGGTTGATCGGACCGTGCCACCTGGTGGCCAACTCAATACGACTGTGGCGCTGCGTCCGCAGCGTGGACCTACCAAGAACTGGATAGCTCTGGAGGATACACTGCAGCGCAGCACCGAGCCGGATGAGATAACTGGCGTCATCGCCGCATCGGCTATACGTTCACCGAACTTTGTAATGCAGGCAGCCCAATTGCTAACGGGACAACCGCTGCCCAGTCCGGCCATACCCATTGGCATGCCACAGCCACCAAACACTGCCGCTGGCAATGTGACGGGTGCACCCGGCTTTGGTGAGGATCGCAATGTGTTCGCCATTTATGTGTCGTACTACGTGAAGGTCAAGCTAACATTAAGCGGCATGGGCGGCGAACTATCGCTCAAGCTACCATTTGTCCTTGTCCACATCGATGAGTCAATGCGTCCGTTGGCCGCAATCGCAGACTTGCGCCTCGAGAAGCTGGCGCTGCACGATGTGCCCGCTGGCCGCAAGCAAGGTGTGAAGAGGGGCAAAACAGAGACAGCGACCACCTCAACATCCTCGTCACGGCCATCGGAGGCATTGGACGATGAGCCCTCGACAAGTGCGGCTGCTGCGGCAGCGGCATCGGCATCGGCTGCGTCTACAAGTGGCAGGGACATGAGGCATCTGGACTGCATCGAGATGGCGGATGATGAGTTTCAAATACGTGTGCCGGTGCCAACAAATGCCCCGTCCCGATATGGCACAGGCAGCTCCAATAAGCGCCGTCTGCAACGTAGCGAGACATTGGCTGGTGACATGGAGGTGGATGAAGAGGAGCAAATTGAGCAACATCTGGTGCAGGTGCATCTGGAGCGGCAGCCCGAGGGGCAGGAGCCAGACAGTCACCAACAGGTTGCCCCCGAAACGGGTGCGGTGCCAAAATCAACGGATGTCTGATTCCGATTGTGGTCCCAGATGTTTGCCAAACGCAAGAAGCCGTAAAAACCAGATGCATATATGTATACATAAATATATATATATATATCTGTATATATACATATATATGTATGCTATATCTATATATAGCTAAAACTGGTGACGGAAGTTGGGCTGAATGTAGGTAGACGAAAAGCAAAAAAGTTACAGAGGACAAATGATGACGATAAAGTGCAAGTATTATCTAAATGTTTTAGCAAGAGCAATTATTGTACATTTATTTTTAGCAAAACGTTAGCGATTCAGTTTCGGTTTCAAAATGGGATACCATAGTACCCAGATGGAATGTTGAAAGATGGGGGGTGGGGTGGTGGGTGGTGGGGGTGGCATTATTTACAGGAGCATTTAATATGGCTTGTATTGGCAATTGGATTTTTGGATTAGTCGTAGCAAAGGAGTTGGGACTTCGATGAGTCCCACTTGGATTGGAGTGGAGGCATTTTGGATAGGCATTTGTGGGGATGTGGTATTTATAGAATTTAGTCAATGTTTAAGAGTTAATTGAGTGTCTAAGCGATTTAAAATTGTTTCCATTTGAATGGTAAGCAGTAAGCATTAAGCTTAAATGTGAAATTGACATTTTAATTGAAATTAAATAGAAAAATGTAACTAAACTTGAATACAATTCAATTAAGTGAATATGCGTTGATATTCAAACTACAAAATCAAACTACTCACTCGCTCCTTACTAGAAGGACACATATTAATATTGATATTGAGAAACGGGCATACGATCAAATACAAATTGTGTGGCAAATATTGATGGTTTTATGAATGGTAGAACAGCGTAAACATGAAATAAGTATAAACTATTCCAAAACAAAAACAAAAACAAAAACAAAAACATAAACAAAAAAAACCCATATATTCGACTACCATATGAATGTGTTAGTACTCAGTTATCATCGTTCAATAAAATGTATATGCAAATGAAGTATTTAACCAATATATGTCTACACACATATGTATGTTGTAATTGAAAAATGAATAGTATAAATATACAAACAGCAGTCTAAATGGATATATTGAAAGCAGAAACAAACAGAAAACCATTTTGTATGCATAGTTAATCACCATATACAAAAAATACACTTACAGCAAGAATAACTAATTAAAAATAATAAAAAATACAGAGAAAACATAAAGTGGCGGTTTCACCTAAAATGTGCTTAAATACATACAGACATGCAGCTGATGGATACATATCTGAAAGATTTCCAGTCCTATACACGATACATATGGTGCCTATTAACAAAACATATATGTATTGATATTGATCTATATCTATTTTTTGGCTTTTTTGTGGCTTTTGTATTGCATTCCGCATTGGATTAATATAGAACACAAATCATATATTAATCGATAAATAAAAGAAATCAATTTGCAACTAAAACACGCAAATTGTAAAGCAGTCAAGAAAAGAAAAAAGGAGAAACACTCTTCAAGTACAACTTTTGCATCCTTAAAATTCAAATATATTCCACGAATAGTTTTGAAATAATCAAATGCCAAAAACAAATGCAGAGCCACAAAATGCAGTTAAAGAATTCAGACACGTGCTGAATCTGTGTTGCTACCCACAATCAAGTTAATTGTAAATGCAAGTGGTAATACCCCCCACAGTATTACCCCGGAAAACTTTAAATATAATGAATGATCAGATGTGAGCGTGGGCGTGCATGGTATGCAAAACAATTATTAAGAGTAATTACTCCATACTATTACTATATATACATATAACTAAATACATATGTGTGTGAATATCAAACCAGTAAGGTTAATCATTGCTCCGCCCGATGCACCATATAATATATACACACATATATATATATATATATACAAATATATTTATATAAATATATGTACATATATGGTATGTGTCAACGAATACCTACCAACTGTGCATATTTTAGATACAGCATTGGTATACTTGTTCTTAAAAGTACTAGTTGTCAAATGTTGACTACTTAACTGGTGAAATTAACAATGAATATATTATATATATTTTGGAAATTGGGTGAATGGCAGACAATTAGTCTCACTCAGCAATATACAAAATATATATATATATATGTATATACAAAACTGACCGTGCATAAAAGCTAAAATACAACTCGCTTTGAATTTCAAATGAAACAGACCAGACATATACCCCACACACACACACACACACACACACACACACACACACACATACATACATACATGCACTCATAGCTACATACGATTTTAAATGTTAGAGCTGTAAGCGTATTTGCATATGATTATATAAATGTGTATATGTCTAGTGTTAAATCATGAATTTATGGTCATAAAGACAATTAGCCAAGTAAAACTAAAAGAAATGCAAAGAAATGCAAATGCATAAATATTCTATTCAATGTTGAAAGAAACACTAATGAGAAATGTGTCTGTGTCTGGGTGCACATAAATGCTGTTCACATATATTTGATATTATGATGTACATGTGATCAACAGGTATGATCATCTTTGTATGCAGCTCTACCTAAAAACTGAAACTAAAACGAAGAACCCAGAAAGTATTTCGAACATGCTAAAAAGAATTTCAATTCAAATGTGATGCTTTTTTATGAGTACACAAAAAAAGAAAGAAAAAAAAACGTTAAACTATAAACGGTAGCTTAAACTATAACTATATTAATATATAAGTAAACTTATTGACCGACATACACCCTGCGAATTCAATTAAGGGCACCTACTTATTTCTCCGGAACGTATTTTGAACTTGTACAGTGCTCAGCATGGTCAGCGAACCAGTTTAAACCAGTGAAAAATCCCACCAGGTGGATGACTCGATGTCCAATCGATAATTTAGGCAAAGCCCAAAGCTGGTCGCGTAAAAACCGAGGCATTAGCTTCAAATATGTTCCTCACCAGAGCAATGGTTTCAATTCAATTTCAAATCTTTCACTTATTTCCCAATATTCGCAAATTATATTGCGAATTTAAAAGTTAACTATATCTGTATTTAACGGGTATTAAAAGAGCTAACTAATGTGGGAAGAAAACCAATTTGAATTATTATATTTTCAATTTTATTTGGAAACAAGGATGTGCCCTTCATTGAATTCCGCAGATTCGCAAGCAAACACAATTATGTCGTTGACAGCTCTTTAAAGGCTATCTATATAATTATAGATGTGTATTGATGATTTAATGTTTGTTGTTTAAGATTCCTATGAACATCATTGTCTCATATTTTAGGGAGCTGGACTCTGAGCAAGCGTTATGGTAGTGCATTTGTTTAAATTGTTAAATTGTATTATTTTAGGGAGTTTTATTTTGTTTTGTTTTGGTATTGGGGTGACATGATTAATGAATGAATGAGCTCACGGTTCAAGCTGTCCATCATCAAGACCATCCGAAACAATATGAAATAAATGTTAAACATAAAAGAGAACACAATACAACTTGTTTTTAATTTAACAAAAATGTCAGGCATATAGCTCAAAGGACATCAAAAGCACAGCAGGGACTCCCCAAATATTCAACCCACCAACACCTATCGCGAGTCCTTAGGGAACCGTTGGTCTTATCTAACAGCTTGCAGTGCTGCTAAACAACAGGATAAAGACATTTAAGCTTTGACTCCGAAAAGCAATCGGAGTCCATGCAGCTTCCAAGCTTACCAAAAGTCTGCTAAAGCTTTGAAAGCTTTCTGCGTGAGGGGCTTTAAGTCATAAATGCGTAAGCTTTTTGTTTAGCATTTACACAATGCGTCTGAATTGTTTTTTGTTTTTTTTTTTTTAATTTAAACTTGTCTGGTAAGGAAAATAAAACAATGAATGCCTTGCATAAGTTAAGCACCACAATCTCTAAGTTAAGCGTCTTCTGTTTTATGAAGTAGTTAACGAAGGCAATTTCGAGCGGTGTTTGGCTGAAAGAGATTGGAGATTGTTTATAGCACTGAACCAACTGAAAGCATAAAACCATCAAAGTTTTGTATCTATCTCTATCTTAAATTACAAAAGGAAACACATTGCAATTTCGTTTACATAAATTTTTAATAATTTTTATTTGATTTTTAATAATAAATATATTTTGATTTATTTATCGTTCTTTTCTTTTCGTTTTTTTCGTTTTTTTTTTTGTATTCTTTATTCGTATTGGATGCATTTGTGGTGCGTTTTTCAACCACAGCAGTTTTCTTCCATTTTTTATTTTTTTTTTATTCGTAACTCTTTATGTGAGAGTGCTGTGTGTGTGTGTGTGTGTATTTATTGCTCACTTTGGCTCACAAGCACACACACACATACACATTGAAGATCAGTTTTAAAATCATTTCTTAGCTACAAATATTGTTAACCAATTCAAAAAAAGTTATAACAAATTAATGTAGTGAGTAAAAAGCGTTAATAAACCAATTCGCGAGTTTGCATGTTGCACGTGGCAAGTTGAAACGATGCATTTTATTGCAATTAATTGACTTGTATGCCATATCATGCAGGCTCGAAGCTGATCAAGCCGCATGACATGCAAGTTGCTGCTAGCTGCGGATGATAACACTTTTCCCCCATCTTTTGACTATTCTCATTGATGTATATATATTTTCTCTATATATATTTATGCATATACATATTATATTATGCATTTCTGTATATATATAAACTTTATAGTTTTTCGTTACACTTGCGTTTTATTTTGATGATTTGTTTTCATTTTGTTTTGAGAGGCAAAAAAGGCACTACAATCTAATAAGTTACGACGACGAAAAAAATAATTAGTTATCATTTGCTATATTATAAGTATATATGCAATATATATATTTACATATTTTTATATGTGTATATGTATATGTACTAATTTTCAATTAAAAATAATAATAGTACAAAAAAAGAAGAACATACACAAATATTGGTGTTTCAAGTACTCGAAGTAATGTGTAAAAATTCGTTTCTTATGATTAGCCACTTAATTTTCGAGTAAGACAAGTTCAAATTTTAGGCATGATTGATGATAAATATATATATTTTTTTCAATTACATATTTTTTGCGTTATTATTATTAACAGAAAATAAATGTCGGTAAATGCACTGACCAAAGCGCCCATTCACCTACTCAATTTCAATTTTAAAATGTATTTGTATGTCGATTTATTTAATATGTTTTTTTTTTTTTTTTTTTTTTTTTTTTTGTTTTGTTGTTTTAAGTTAACATTTTGTTTTTAAACCTATTTTTAGTATATATCTTTATGTATTATTTGATAACTTTTCACTTGCTCAAAAAAAAAATGATTTACTCTTGTTTTCTCGTTTACATATTACTTTTAGTTTTTACATACAATCAAAGATTACAATAAATTAGTTAAACAAACGAAAATATTAAATAAAATACAGTTTTAAGCAGGTAAATAATAATAAATAAACAAATACATAGTTTAACTGCCTTACGCTTAAGTCGTACATTTTTCATAGTTTCATTATTGTTTTTACTTTCTTTACTTGTTAGACAAATTGTGGTGCGCCCTTTGTTTTTGTTTTCTTTTCTTTTTTTTTAACAATTTTAGCATTTGACGGCGCACATTAATTGAAAATTAAATATATTAAAACTACATTAATTTGCTGCTCTATTCGTTTTTCTTTCTTTCTTTTTTTTTGCGTTTTTTTGCGTTTTTCTCTTTAGTGTTGTTGCTGGAAACACTGCACTTTGTGGCCTAGTTATAGATTTGCATTTGCAATTTGCTTTGATTTGCTTTGTTGTTTTGCATGTATTTTGGGTTGTTGTAGTACACATAAGTAGATATCGTATATGGTTTACATTAATATGCCTATATAAATTCATTGCTTAAATCGCTGCACTCTTTTTTTTTTTCTTTTGTTTTTCGCGTGTTCAATTTTGTGTAGGGTATATGGGTAAATGGGCTAGGAATTTGGGGGAAGGTATGGGGAGTTCCTTGCGTCTTATAAAAGGAAATCAAATTACATAAAAATTGAGGACAAGTCCTTTTATAAACAAATGCAAGAAATTACTGTGAATGTGTTGTTGTTGTTGTTTTTATTGTTATTATTTAGTTTAGTTGGTGTAGTGTATTCAATATGCATATAGCAACATGTATGTACATGTAGAGTAAATAAATAATATAGAAATTGTATACAATTAATGATAACATGCGTTACATACATATTCAATATATTCAAAATATATATGAATCAGTTTATTTATTTATATATATATATATATATATATATATATATAAATTACACGTTTTAGCCGACTTTGGCAAACGGTGATTCTTTTCTGATATTCTTCCTTTATTGTTGTTTGCATTTGAATTTTGTTTTTTTTTTTTGTTTTTTGTTTTTTTTTTTGTTGTTTTTGCTGCTTTTGCGTTTTTAACTAGTTAATTACTTGCACACGATATTTGTCGACATATTTATGTACGTATGTATGTGTATATATAAAAGTTATTCATTTGTTGTTGTTGTTTGTTGTTGTTTGTTGTTGTTTGTTGTTGCTCTTGTTGAGGTTAAACCTTTTAAGGAAATGGAAGCGGATGGATATATTATTTCTTCTTGTTGGTCGCCAACATTGGGGCGCTGCGCTGCGGTGTTGTGGGTCGCGATGAGTTCATGCCACTGTACAAATACTTGGCCTTCTTCTCCGATGGCTTCAATATCTGCAAATTAAAAGCCAATCACACAATTGTATTGTTTTCAATGGATGAACACACAACACATACCTGGAATGAGCACATGAGCGTATCGTCTACAGTCATCATGCCGCCAGCGTTGTCGAATTCACCGCAATAGTTGGGCGCCGAGAACAGTGTGACGAGCTGTCGGCGCGCAAAGAACTCGTAGCCATCCTCAACGACCTGTCAATTGTCAAATTGTTATTCAATCAGTTCAATTGTTGTTGCAACTTTGCCACATTATTATAACTTGCCTGATGCGCACGACAAATCAAGTCCAGCTCGTGTCGATTCAAGAATTTGGAGACGACATCAACGCCAAAGGTGAAACTGACGCCGCGATCGTTCTCGCCCCAGCCTTGCACATCCTTGTCGGGATCACTCCAGAGCAGATCGCAGAGCAGGCCAGTGTCTGGCACATCTGTGGGACGCATTAGGCGACGTATCTGCTCCATGCCCTGCAGATCGGGACTGAGCCCGCCATGGCAGCAGAAGATCTTCTCGTCAATGATCGCGGCCACCGGCAGACAGTTGAAACAGTCTGTGAAGGTCTTCCATAGTTTGACATTATAGCGACGCTTGCATTCGTCGTAAAAGCCTATGCAAAATGTATAAATCATTAAAAATTAATAATTAATTAATCTGTAATGTTATAATGGGGACACGCTTACCATAAATTCTATTAATACTGGCACACTCATGATTGCCGCGCAACAAAAAGAAATTCTCCGGATATTTGATCTTGTAGGCCAACAGCAGACAGATCGTTTCTAGCGATTGCTTGCCCCGATCCACATAATCGCCAAGAAACAGATAATTGGCAGCCGGTGGAAATCCGCCATATTCGAAGAGTCGCAACAGATCTGTGTACTGTCCGTGTATGTCGCCGCATATGATCAGCGGTGCCTCCAATTCCAGCAATATCGGCTGTTGCAAGAATATCTCGCGCGACTTCAGACACAAGCCACGCACCTCCGCCTCCGTCATCTGCACCTGTTTGCCGGTGCGGCAGCTGCGCACTGAAATATCCAATTGATAACAATTGATTAGTTTGTCAATTAATTGCAAGCAGCATTTATATCAACTATACAAAACTTTAGCGCATAATTCTAATTTGGGAGCGTCATTATTGCAACAATTGCCAACAACAAGGGGCAAGTACAAAACTAATTTATCGACACGCACAGGGCATGTGGGCGGTGGGGGCGGTAGGGGAGTGGCAAACTTTTGCTGATGTTGCAATGTTTGTTGTTGTTTGGTTTGATTTTCATTTGGTTGCCAAGCACACAACAACAACAACAACAACAACAAAAAGAATGCTGCACACTTTGTGGCGCAAATGGCGAAAAGCGTGCGGATTATATTATGTGCATGTACTATAAATGTGGCCACGTCAAGGGGCAGGGGGATAGATGACACACATAAAAAATAAAAATAAAAAAACAAAACACAAAAACGACGACCTTCAAATATGCAACACAAAAGCGCAATGTGAGCTTAATCATTTGTGTATGTTGTGTGTGTGTGTTGTGTGTGTGTGTTGTGTGTGTGTGTGTGTGTTGTGTGTGTGGCTTTTGTCAGGCAGTCAGCCTCAAATATATTTGTAGCGTTCACATGTTAAGCTTCAGGCTTATTTCAAGCGTAGGTAAACACACACAACTCAACGCCTTAAGCAGCACCAGTGAAGCCCAACAAGTGGGCGTGTCAACGCCTACCACACACACACACACATTTATTAGTAGGGGTTATGTGTCAGTGCAGCTAATTATCGATTGTGAAAAAAAAAGAAGAAAAAACAGGATAGCTGAAAAGGCAGGAAAAAAGGCCAACAACTTTTGAGGCAACGCAACAAACTTAATACAAATTATAAATGAATATATATGAGTTAATTAATAATGAGTGAAATGTTATTATTTGAATAACGAGATCAGCTCTTTATGTGCTTGATGAACTCATGGCACAATCAATAATTAAATAAGCAGCGTATTAAATGAGCAATATTACTTAACAAATACCTATTAAGCCTATGCTAACTTTTGCGGCTTCAGAAAAAAAAGGCCAAAATGTCAGCACTGGTCTGTCTGTCTGCCATTTGGTTGTCATTTGCTTGTAAATTAATATTGGGCCAACCAAGGGAAATGGGAATGGGTCCCTTTGCTGGCATTGCAAGTAGGTCATGTATGTCTGGGAGTGACTGTGTGTGTGGGTGGTGTTTGTGTGTGTGCAAAAAGTAACAACAGAAAACAGAAAAAAAAACAAAAGCAAAAAAATTAATTAAATTTGCATACACAAAACAGAAAGAACAAAAATGTGCGAGTGAAAGAGTAAAATGCTGCGACAGCATTTGGTCCGAAGCAGCGCAGAAGCTGCCCGAACTTGGCCACATTTCAAATGCAGCGACTGCAGCCCCATGCCCAGCCACCCACCACCAGCAGTGGGTGGCTTAAGCCACCCAATGGCCAACCAGGGAGCAGCAGCAGCAGCAGCAGCAGCAGCTTTGGCAGCCAGGATTTTCGTATTTATATTCGTATTTCTAAATAGTTGGCAGCTGTTGTCAAGTGCCACAAAGTGTTGCAATTCCAATTGCACCAGCTGCGATTTTCATAATTAATCATTTTGGGTGTGTTAAGACAGAGAGAGAGAGAGAGAGAGAGAGAGAGAGAGAGAAAGAGAAACAGAGAAATCCAAATGCTTCGCTTTAGTGATGGCTTCATTTGTTGCTGTTCGGTACCAGGATTTACTCATGGATGGTTGGATTTACTCCTGCAAAGGTTTAACTTTGAATTTATCGTTGCGAAACTTTTAAAGTTCTTAACTTTTTGTCAAAGCTTCGAGGAATACAATCGTTGCTCGCTGATTGGATTTCAAGAAATTAAATCGCTGTTTTTACTTATCTTCACTGAGAAATTAAAGTTAACACAATAGAAAAATTATATATATATATATATATTCATATCAAATCTATTCTCGCGAAACTGTAGCAAGTCTCTGCACAGCAACATGTTGTCAGCCTGTTCTGATAAGGACCACAGTAGAAGAATCTCCCGAGCAGTTCTTCCGCTCCTGTAAGAGATTAGACACCTCCTTGGAAGTCCCATTCTAGCCGACCTATCTCATTCAGCAAAACAAGGAGCAACGTAAATTGTGCAATTTGTTAAGATATCCGGTGGGCATCCTTCTGATGTCAGTCAGTGCCAAGCAAATGGCAAATAGTATCTGGTAACAGGCCAAATTTATTTGGCATCTAGCTAGCATTTGAAATTCTTATTTGAAAAAGATATATATATTGTGCACTGCTGATAATATTTCGAAAATCCTACACTTCAAATGAGAATTATTCTTCAATTAAATAACCAAAATGTCACTTTTCAGCCATCAAACATTTCCACAGAGAGTGGAACGCATATTGTTCCCAATTTATGCGGCCAGCTCTTAGACTTTAATCAGATTTAATGGTTTATGTGTGTGGACAGAGCTGGCTGTTGTCGTTACTTATTCGCATTACGTATTCGCAATGATTTCCATTTTATTAACATTTTCATTTGACTGCTAGACGCTCCAAAGTGACTCAAGTCTGAAGCATTTCCGGGTGTCTGCTAGCGCCAGAAGCACTCTTTAAACGACTGCTCTACAAGAAGCCAAAACACTAAATCTGGTAGCAGATGCTTCCGGTTGTTGTTGTTCTGGTTGCTGTTGTTGTTGTTGTTGTTGTTGTTGTTGCAACAAACACATTTAGAGTCAAGATAAACACTAAATTATGCGGAGCAAAGGTTTCACATCAGCAACATATGAGATTTGCTTAGTTATGCGGCTCAAGGAGACACGAATTTTGTCTGTCAGTCTATCTGTCTGTCTGTCTGACTGTCTGACTGACTGTGTGTCTCTCAGCCTGCCTGACAGAGCAATAATAGCAGTAGCACAATCAGCAGACAGCTGCTGCTGCTACTTCTGCTGCTGCTGCTGCTGTTGCTGTTTCTTCCTCTGCCACATTTGCTCCTGCTGCTGCATGCTTTCTGCTGTGTGCTGCATAATTCGATGCCAAATCTGAGAGCCGCCAGTTGGGAGTCCCTCGAATAAACTCCCCGACTGCTTCCGTTTCACGTATAAATTATGCAACAGCTGCTCCACTTTGTCTCCACTGTGTGTGTGTGTGTAAGTTATTTGCATAAAGTCACCGGATTGCAGTGCATGAAATATGGATTAAAAGAACAAAACATGTTTTCTTACTTCTCATCAGTTTTATATATATACAATTTGTCCACATTTCGAATCAAATATTTTCTTCAGTTCAACGCCCAAATCAAACAGATCTTTGCAGTTTGTTAATACTTTGTTTTTTTACTATTTATTTATTTCAAGATTAGATACCCTCGTAAAGCGAAATTAATCTGCTAAAACTCATCTATCGATCGATTCTTCCTATGGCAGCTATATGACATAATACAACGATCCAAAAACTGCCTCTTAAATAGGGATACATAGATATAATAATTTTAAAAATTCCAGCAGATGGACAGACGAACATGGTTAAATGGAATCGGCTAGTGATGCACATCAGGAATATATATATATATATATATATACTAGTGGTATATACGGAGACGTCTCCTTCGATGCGTATGTGTTATAGGAGCACAAAATTAGAATACTTTCTGAAAGTGTACAAACAATACTTAATTGTTGCCCCGTCTGAACTATTTGACGAACTATTTTTGTATGCGTTTCTAATCATTTTGAGCTGGATTCATGCTTCTTTGTTCCCATATTGTGTCCCTCTTTTAAATACACGCAATTTGTAGTCTGTAGTCTGTAGTCTGTGCCGAGATCTATTCACAGTTCAGTTGCCATTGTGGCTATAGTATAGTGTCCGACGACTTTAACACACATGCAACAATGGCAAGGCACGCAGCGACATATGAGTGAAAGAGACAGAGAGATAGACAGGATGCGGATGTGGATGGGGAGTGGGCTCAGCACAAAAGCGACTCGTTTTTTTTTTCTGCAACGCTTTTTTGCTACATATCTCTATGCAAATATCCGGGGCTACTCACCCGCTGGCACCAGCCCAGGCGAACACACACATTTGTCAGCGTACAAAATGAAAAAAATGCGCATGTGGATGTGGATGTGGATGAGGAGTTAGCTGCTTGCTGGTGGATTGGTGGATTGGTTTGGGTAGTTCATCAAAAATGAAAATAATAAGTACAAGAAGCGAGCAAAGAAAATGACAACTTTTATGCGTAAGCGCAACAAAAAAAAACAAAGCAACAAAAAAAAAATATAGAAAAAATAGAAAAAGACACGCGTGTTTGCTTTTCATGCATTTTACATGAGAGTCGACGTAAAGCACGTGCCACCCACATGCGCTCACATACACACATGTACGCGTGTGTGCGTGTGTGTGTGTGTGTAGTCAGTCAGTCAGTCAGTCAGTCATCGGACCCGTTTCGCATCCCTTTCCGCCTTTTCGTCTGTGTGTCTAACTGGTTCATCATGATTAACATTTTGCCCATGCCGCCCACTGCCCCGCCCTCTTGCCCAGCTGCTGCACGACACAAATTAAAAATTTAAAAAGATATTACACGTGCCGTTGCCTGGGGTGTGGGAGGGGGCGGGTTAGCCGCTTCCATTTGATGACGGCTCACTCAACTTATTCATAGCGCTTCGCATTATGCAACGCGCAACGAGTTGAGTTGCAGCAAATGAGTTGCGTACACCGAACGTGCCACACACTCACACTCACTCGAGCACATCTTGAAACCTGCTCAACTCCTCAACAGTAAAATATATATGTGATATATCTATTCACTGGTTTGATAATTAAATGTTGATTATTTCGTTTGCTGACCTCTTTTTATAATTTAAATATGATTTTCGCTGGCATTTCATTTCAAGTGTTTTTTTGTATTTTATTTCATTTGAATTTTAGTCCACAGCTGACCAAATCTAACGACAAAATAATTAAAGTCAATTTTAAAATATGTTTACTATAAAACAAAAAAAAGCTTGCTTCATTAAA